AAAATTATTTAACAAGCAGAAGAAGAAGGCGATGGTGGTGGTGAAGAGGTTTTAGAAATTAAACCACGCATCAAGAAACTTGCCAACCAGTTCAACTTCTGCGAAAGAGCTGCCCTCACATACAATTTTCCAAGAAGAGTGGGTATCATTATCTTTGATTATTTTTATATGATCTTTGCTTAACCCAGACACTCTCCTTTATGACTGTTCCTGTGGTTATCTTAAGATAAACAGTATTATTAAATAATACTTATAACTTTTGTGAATTCTGAATTAACAATACCCGAGTCAGTATTTTCAAGACTATTAAAAATACTATTTTAGGTAACAAAATCAAAAAACTTGAATAAACCGCCGCTAGCTTATTGGTTTTGTGATCTAAATATAATTTCAGTCGGTGGACACACAAACAATACCACCAGCTCGAGCTAATTACGGCTCTACAGCCCTTCAGTGTGTCATATTCGACTACTATCAGGAAGACTACGCCAAAAAGATGAAAGAAAAAGAGGACGAGAAACCGAAAAGGGTAAAACTTCATTTTAATCATACTCAATATGTCAAATTTTTTGAATCGACTTCAATTTCCCTTGTTTCTAGAACATTAAAATTTTAAATCAAATGAAGGAATTTTCTCGTTTCGAAGAATCAACAACACGTCGTCATGTCGCTCGGCAAAACTTTAACTTGACTTTATACCATAAACATTCGAGACATTATGTGTTAACTTGATATACTACTGTCGTAGGCGTTAAAAGGTAAGGACTGGTTGCCTGGACGCCGCAAGATTTTTGACTAACAAAAAGTTTGGTTAAGATTAATCAAGGTTCTCTTCTTGGCCATTGAAAACTGTGGTCCTATTTCTTGCTCAAATTGTAAATATGAAATCCATTTTAAATTCAGATGCGCAAAAAAGCGGCGAAGCACGCAAAGTCTGCGCAGCAAATTCACGACGAGCTGTTGGCTCAACGAATCAGGGAGGCTTGGGCGATTCTAGAGAGACTTGTCAACCAGAACATCTACGACGATATAGGTATAAGTTCTTTTTGGGTGGTTCCTTTGATAAATATTCTTGGTCAGGTACATGACCCATTTTTTCTCATTACAAGCACGAAATATAACATTAAGTTCTGGTGCCAAGATTTGACTCTGATATAGGGTTTTATATGTATACGATACTTATTATTATATCAATTTATTTATCAGTAAACGAAGATTTTTAGCTTTGTCGTTTGTCTGATATTTCTTATTTTCTACATAGCCCAAGACTATCGATATTGGGACGACCCATCTGACGAGTTCCGTGAAGGCATGGGCTCATTGCTCCCTCTATGGAAGTTTCAGTACGAGCCAATGCGCAACCACGCTGTCTGTGATGTGCAATGGAACCCACACTATCAGGACTTATTCGCTGTCGCCTATGGATCATGTTTGTTTGAAACTATAATTCATACTTTTTAATAAGAACATTTTTATATATTTGAATGTTTGAGAACAATGTCCTTGCCCGTCTTATTGTAAAGTTAGTACATGGTTCAAACCATTTGCTTAAGCAAATTAACAATGACATGAGAGAAAACGTTTAATTGAGACATGTTGACTTATTTTGGTCGAATAATGGATGAAACCTGATCCTTAATTTAGTCCTCGTTATATATATAATAAGATGGGTTGTGAAGCACTAGTGGGCCAAGTATGTATTGATGGGTGTTAACGGTATTATGCAGCTGAGACCAACGGCTTAGTGTGCTTTCTTGAGTAGCAGACTTATGATCTCTTTCCCGTAGACCTCGAGTGCCCACCATCTATATCCTAATCTAATCAAGAGAAAGTTCATCAAAATATGCTTTTAACGTAGATGCAAAATTTATGTTTAACATTTAGTGATTTTAGGTGAGCATAGCATTCAGTATAACTTTGGAATTAGAAGAAGTATTTTCCTTTAAAAAATATTTTTCCCCATATCAGTGGACTTCACGAACCAACAGAAGGAGGGTTGTCTCTGCCTATACAGCATAAAGAACCCTGCTTTTCCTGAATACGCGGTCATTACTGATTCACCGATCATCTGTCTGGACGTCTACAATCAGACGCCGTACCTCATTTGCGTGGGTGAGATGAGATTTTTGAATTCGTGTCATCGATCAGTATATTATGTCACTAATCAATTTTATCATTAGCCGGATTATAGTAATCAATGAAGATATTTCGTCACGTAATTCGGACAATAATAACGCCCTATAATAAAAACTATGTAAACGATTACGTAGTTTTTATTGAGTTAATTTATTATGCAAACTCAAATTGATGTTTAACATAGAAATAAAATCTGACAAAATATTTAATTAACAGTTAATAATTTTAGATTAAACAAAAGATATTTTAACGTGTCTTAGGTATGTAACTTAGAGACTTATCCTGCGACGACGAAGGGCTTACCAGTCCTATTTTATTTTCACGAGATAATATCATGCAGCTTGGCTCTAATAAGAGGGGTTAAATGGCTATAAACTTGCCGTAATCATTTAAATTTATGACGGAAATAAAATTAAAAAGTGAGATGTGTTGTTGTATTTAAACGACTTCAAAAAATAAAAATAAACAACTTGAAGTCGAACGTTAAATATTTTAATAACCTACACAAAATCTCCCCTGACTTCAGTAGAAATTGTTTTCAATAGAAGATAAATAATTTTTGAAGTGGGTTTATATTTACAAAAAGTTATTTTATCGTAGCACCTACTAATCTGATGTTAACTTAACTAGATCCTATTTTCTTCTGTTTACAGGATTATATGATGGCAACGTTTGTGTGTATAACGCCCAACTTACATTAGAATCGTCATATCAGTACAAATCGGATTCAGTACGAGATAAACACAGTAACATCGTGTGGGAGGTAAGTACGCAAAAGATACGCTGAACTAAATCTACATTTATAAATATATGATTCACTGTTGTGAATGGGTGTGAATGGGTGTGCGTTTTCCACAAAAGAATTTGACCTCTAGACCTCTTGCTTCATTGTTTACGTTTAAATAATTACAATGGAATGCAACGATCCTATTCTGATGACATCGATATTTAAAAATTGTTATTGACCTTTTTAGGCTTACGTACCAAAAGGGGAAAACCAGACAAAAACATCAAGTTACTTATTATATGTCATCAATTTCACTTTCACGATGCTATATAATCCCCGCATATTGTTAATTTACTTGATTCTTATAAATTTAAAAAATATTTCTTACGACTGTTCGCATGGATTACTTGAAAATTTATAAAAATACGCTCTGTTGTAGCGAAAAAGTAACAAATGCTTGAAAAATAGGTCAGGCCTGATAGGCCCTGGGCAGCTTAGTGGTTACAGCAGTCGCCCAGATTGCAAAAGGTCATGGGTTCGATTCATATCTCATAGTGCTAGGGACGAAGTGGATTTTTTATAATTTTTTATTAAGAACATTAAGTAACCCCTAAAATTCACCATTTTATTCGTTTCTTGTTGTCAATATATTTATTTTTCTATGAGAATAAATTGTTGTAATAGTTTGCAAGTATATTTTTACAAATAGCCTTTGCCATTCTCTGTCTTTGTTGCATTCGACCATGAGATAGACATGGAAATAGAAATATAGATATCTATTGGCTTTTTATTGCCTCTTAATAGGTTAGATGGGGCGCTCGTATGATAGACGGAGAAGCATCATTCTTTTCTATCTCGGGTGACGGTCGCGTGGTGCAGTGGGCGGTGATGCCCAGCGAACTGCAGGCCACCACCATCATCACGCTCACATCCAACGTACCGCCCATACCGGGGCCAGACGGAACCATGGTCACTGTTAATAGTACGTTACTGTATATAGATTTGATTATAGTCTTCTGTCTACTTGACTGTGTATAGATATGACTGACAAGGTGACGTAGTGCATAAACGCCTCGACCCGCGATCGTTGTTATTAAGCTATCTTGCAGAGATCAGTCACAGGGTGGGTGGCCAAAATATTAGTACATCTTGCTTCTGAAGGCACGTTAACCCGTTGGTCCCGGCCGCATTTGCTGTCGTTAATAGCCTGCAATCCACATTAGGCTAGCGTGGAGGTTCATGGCCCATCCTCCTTAACCATCCATAATTAAGGCCTTAGCCCCTGTGGGGACTTAAAAGGGCAGAACAGAATAAGTAATCCATGCAGACCTACGTTAGACACAGTGTCAAGATGCACACTGACAATCCCAATTTATATAGAAGATCCAATCTATCTATACCTAAATTATAATTGGTTAAGTTGCTAACTACATTTTATTATATGTTATACTTTAACCAGATCATGAAAAATCTTTCACCTACGGGATGCTACAATTCACTCGGGTACATGGGCCATAATTTACGCGGACGAAGTCGAGGGAAAACAGCTAGTATGTCATAATTTATGTCTAGTAACAAGGCAAAACAATCCCTCACTCGTACCTCATTTGCTTTGTAGTGCAAACCTTGCAAGGCCTTCCAGCTAAATAATTTCTGTCGTCAATTTTATTTTCGTGAGTCAGTTATTTTTCTATTTTATCGCGGAGGACTGAGCGAACAACGTTTATTTAGATTAGAACTATACTCAAAATTTGTCTTCAGTAGCCCATTATATACACTCTAATCTATGTTTTTCTAAGTATTCTTCGTACGCAAACTTACCTAATTGTTCACTATTATGCTGTTTTGATTTGTTGTTGGATATGAAAAGCAGATTCTGAATAAGCGACCACTCTCCAGTTGATGCTATGTAACAGATCGCCTACCACGTGAACCGACGATCTGATAAAGAATACAGAATGCCACTGGATGTTTGCAGCGAGCATCGTACCCACAGCTAAAATAGGGACCCATACTTTTATCTTGGAAACTGAAAGAAAAGAAAAAGAAAAGGATGTCAATTGTCTCACCGACATGTAGATCTATCTTCCAATTGTTCCAGGTTGTGGCAGTTGCATCTGTTTCCATCCCGAAAAACCGGAGATCTTTATGGTTGGCACCGAGGAAGGGATGATTCACACCTGCTCTCTTAAATACAACAGGAACTATGTGCGCTCAGTTCAAGGTCATCACATGCCCGTGTACAGGATCCATTACAATTTCTTCAACAATAGCATCTATGCGTCTTGTTCTGGGGACTGGCGTGTCAAGATATGGGAGGACGGCCGAGAGTAAGTTTTATTTTACTTTAATAATTGGCTTCGTCAGATTTTATTTTTAAAAGCATGAAATCATTAACATTGTAAAGGCCTTCCATAGTTTTTACGCTACTCTACTATTTCGAAAGATAATACTTTATATATGATACAGATTATGATAGCGATAAGAGTGTGTTGCGCTCTAATGGGCTAGTTGAATTCTTTTTTATTTGATAAATAAATAGTCTATTCATATCTGAGAAATAATGTAAAAGTAACAGAATGTCTGCGGTACCAGTTATACAATTTACACACGCTAGTGTATACTTTTAATTTTGACCTATTAATTGATTTGGAAAGAATCATTCTTTTGCCTCAATTCTATGAAAACTGATAATAATATAATGATAACAAATGCTAAATATTAGAACACAAAACAGTGTTGGTAAATTTTATCAAAAATACTAAGTATTAGAAATACTATATAAGAGCAAAGTGCTGCTATATAGGGACGTAGGTGAATACTTCGTCGCATACACAAACTTTATTACTGACTTTATCGGTATTTTATAATTTATTTTATATTCTTAATGTAAAATGCTTATAAAATCCACTTTGTCCCTGGCACTTTCAAATGGGACTCGAACCCATAACCTTTAGCAATCAGGGCGAAAGGATTGCGATTGAAAAAATTCGAATCCCATCTCAGAGTGCCAGAGATATAAAGTGGATTTTTTAAGCATTTTACATGAAGATAATTTTTCATTATAGCATTGTGAATGCAAAATTGATAAAAAAAATATAATAATTTTAATTGTTTAATTGTAAAAGTAAAAACACACTTTCTTGAAAACTGTTAATATGTTTATGTTTAATGACTTTTTATCTTTATCTATTTTATTTACTATATTACATTATACAGATTTATCTATTTACTTCTCCATCTTGCACCCCCCTCTTTTTATTATATAGTTCATGTTTTTCTTTGCCTCGGGTTGCCTGGAAGAGATTGCTACGTAGCAATAAGGTCGCCCTTTGTAATCTTTCTCTTTTTTTATATCTTCTCTGTATTATGTCCTGTCTAGCGTGCAATAAAGAATATTATTATTATTAGTAATATTTTATTTTATGTTCAAGTCAGCAAATGTTGAAAAATGCAAATCTGGATCGCAACTTCAGCTTTTGTGCGCACGTAGCGACTATCTGTGGCTCATAAACACATAATAGGGAATATGCACATTTTTGTAAAATAGTTTTATATGATAATTAACATCGATATATAACTCTAAAAAAATACCCGGCACCGTAAAACTAAAAATTTATAACATTAATCATTGATGAAAATAAGTAATAGCTACGAGCAGTTTAAGCACCGGAATTTTTGGCGCGCTCGTCGTGACGTCAAAGTACACGACTATAGATATGACATTTTAAATCAATATGGTTTTTTAGTGATTTATTATCATTCAATTACCCAAATCGATTTTTTAAAGTATAATATACTTTTTTAATAAATCATATAATTTACCAAATTGGTGAAATAAAAACAAAATCCTAAAACATCATTTAAATTGTACTCTGTTTGACTTAATACTTTGATGTTATTGCATCGATGTTAACTTTTTGTAACAACGACATCCCTGTACGTGTACATTTTCGTCACATCCGCTCTGACAAGTAACATGGCGTTTAAATATTTTAAAGTTACCGCATTTATTTTGCACTTTTTAATAATTATTTTCAAGACGAAAACGAACTAATGTAGAAAAATATTTAGATATACTTTATTCTAAAGCAATAACGATTGTAATAAAATATATTTAACCCTTTTTTGAATCAAACACCCTTTTTTGACGCATATTCCTTATTAATAAACAACTGTATGTATGATTCGGTCTTTTTTTTATGCTAAAATTGTATTAAAATTTATTCAAATCTGAAAACCAAATTGTTTGTTACAGTGAACCTCTGTTCATGTTCGAATTGGGTTCTCCAGTGGGCGATGTGAAATGGGCTCCTTACTCCAGCACGGTTTTTGCAGCTTGCACTGCTGATGGCAAGGTAAATCTCTCTTTCGCTTCTAAAATGGCATTGATATTACGTACGGACGTTATACATGTTTGGAATAAAAAAAAATATATTGGAGAGCATCACATAGATACCTAGCTCAGATTCCAAGATAAGTACCAAAGCCCTTGTATTATGAAGTAGGTATCTGAAACAAATACACTCAAATGCTAGACATTCATATATTAACTCGACCGGAATCAAATCCAGAACCTCAGAGATGGCGACATTAGGAAACCAGGGTGCTAACCACTGCGCTACGGCTAAAGGCTACAGGAAAAATTTCTTATCAGTGCACAAGTTGTTCCTATGATTTATTATAATTAGAAAAATAGAAAATATTTACGAAAAACTTTTTTTATTTCGTATGACAATATTAAAATTGATAATTTCTTAAGTTGGGCTTGGTAACCCTAAATTTCTTATCAAGTTTCCATAAATTATTACTCTATAATTTAATATGATTTAAAAAATAATAGATACTCTATTCTAAATTACTGTTATTTTAAGGTGTACGTTTACGACTTGAACGTCAACAAATATCGACCGATATGCATACAAGCGGTGGTGTCAAAGAAGACCAAAAAGCTAACAAGAATAGATTTTAATTCTCGCTTGCCTGTTATTGTGGCTGGAGATACTAAGTAAGTTAAAACGCTTCAGCATAAATGGGCCGGCTCGACCGGAGTGATACCACGGCCTCACAGAAAACCGACGTGAAGCAACGCTTGCGTTGTGTTTCGTCGTGTGAGTGAGGGTACCGGAGGCCCAACCCCTCCCTACTCCCTTCCCTCTACCCCTCAACCCTTCCCTCCAAGGCCGGCAGCGCGCTTGTAGCCCCTCTGGTGTTGCAGGTGTCCATGGGCGACGGTAATCACTTACCATCAGGTGATCCGTCTGCTCGTCTGCCGCATATCCCATAAAAAAAAAATTCAGAACCACTCATAGCTTTTACAGCACTTCGCTCGGGTCAAATCCGGGGTAACAGAAATTTCACCCCCTTTAGTTAATGAATTGGGGCAGATATCAAAAAAAATTTTGTTGCACGTATAAGCTAAGGAATAAGCGACAAAAAGTCCGCATACCAAGTTTTAACTTTCTGCCTTGAAAATTGCGGAATGCTCCATACAAATTTCCACCCCGTATTTCAGGGGGACGGGGGAATAAAAAGAGATAAGAAGTAGCCTATGTCACGCTTCCAGCCCTTCAACTATCTCTACATAAAAAATACACTAATCCGTTGCTCCGTTTTGACGTGAGAGACGGACAAAGAAACACACTTTTATAATATTGGTATGAATATAATACCTACTAACTAACCCACCCAGCCACGCGTTATTAATTTTTACTCATTATCTTAATAATATTAAAGATAAAAACTAACCTATCGGTGAAGTTAGACTAAGTTACAAAGATAAATAATTAAGCTTACCCATCCAAAACCAGTATGTTTAAGTCTCAGACTGCAGACCGACTGACACCACACTTACCATAACGATGCTAACGAGCTTATACTAAAAGTTAACTTTGAGACCGCTAACGCGTAATTTCGCGTTCCACCGAAACAACGAAATATAATTTAACTAAGTACATGTCAATTCACTGATTAGATAACCGAGTCTTACAAATAACAATTAAAACAAAATATATTATCTCGTTCATTTATTTATAACTACTAATATTATAAAGTGGAAAGACTTGATTGTAAGCTCCGAAACTACTGGACTGATTTTAAAAATTCTTCTGTAAGTAGCGACCGACGTCGCGAAGAACAGCTAGTCGTTTATAAAAGTAATTTAGACATGTTTTATAGCAACAAATTAGATTCGCCATAAAAAAAAATATTATGTCTGATAAATTTTGCATTCACGATGCTATACTGGAATTACGAAAGGTCCTAGGTTCGAATTCCATCTGAGAGTAACAAGGATAAAGTGGATTTTTTAACCATTTTTCTTTAAGAACATGACATTTCATCCAACATAATAAGCGTTCACACCAAATCTAGAATCGGCCGCTAACGCCGCAGTCTGATGTTATGCTTAGTGACGTGTAGTGACGTAATATCGGTATGATGTGTACGAAAGGATGATTAATTGTATGGAAATGCAATAAACTATAGAGCGTTCGCTTACAATCGGCGGCTGACGGTCAGTTTGGTTTGAACGCAGCCTAAATATATATAGAAAGATGTACTAACAGTAACTGTATCGTAATTTCGATTGATCCTCCATCGCCTCCATAGCTCAGGGGTTAGAGCACTGGTCTTGTAAACCAGGGGTCGAGAGTTCAATTCTCTCTGGGGGCATAAGGTGATTTTTTTTTAACTATTTTTTTTTATATACAGACAACTTTATTAATTTATCTTTAACGTTTTTTTTTTTGTAATTTAGGGGCACCTGTCACGTTTTGAAATTGTCACCTAATTTAAGAGTGATGTGCAAACCACCAAAGAAAGCACAAGGAATAGATCAGAGAACGCTGCAGGTTTGTATTTTGTGATTTTTTTATTTCATCGATTATAAAGATATTGCAACTCGATAGCCTTTACTTCTAATTTAAAGCGCGATGAAAATGGGAGGAAAAAACATCATCCACATCCAAATGAGTCTACTGATGTGGTGTGACGTATAATTTTCACACTTTTGCACTTCTGAAATTACTATTATTTCCATTTCTATTCTATATCGAAAAATTCGATTTGAAATCGTTCAATTTTCCTGTTTTAATTACATATTCAAATGTAACGTCACAATATTTTGGACTAACTCCCACCCTTTGTCACAGAATGTCGCAATAACTTACTCCCCTTTAACTTGTGACGCAATTTACAAATGACCACTTAGCAGTATTTTCTTATACTATAATTTTCATAACTTTTCTCTTTACAGATTATGAAGTTAGATAAACTCTTGAGTCTGGTGAGAGACCCACCGTTCACACCAGGAATAGTCGATGAAAAGTTCGACGATGACTAATTTATGAATTTATTATGTTAATTATGTAAAATAAAACACATAAATACATTGGTATATTTTAATAAAAACTAGTAAAGCTTTAAAAGAACATGACAAATTGAATAAGAAAAACTTCCATAAACTTTTTTTAAACGAAACAGTACACTTTAAAAGTGAATTTATAAACTATACTAACATTATGACTAGAATATTTTCAAATCTCAAAATATTCCATTGACTAGACAATTTTTACTACATTAGCCTATTAAGAATTCAATCGTAGATTCTTTCGAAGTCTATGCTATTCTAACTTACGAATTTTTAATGCCGTAGAGTAGGACAGGTCACAATGAAGTTCACCATACATCAAAGTTCTAAAGAGTTTACTTTCAGATCACCGAAAATGGTAAGTTAATCATGACAACGATTACCATACCCTAAAAAGATCACAATAACATGGCAATAATTAAACTATTTCGATCTTAGTTATATATAAAAAGTTTTTATTCTATATTTGGATGCTACATCACATCACAATTTTGTGAACAATTCTGGATCACTGGACAAAAGTCACTCTTAATGAAAACAGGATAAGGTACAAAAGATCACAAAATTCTATTCATAAAAATCACTGGTTACGGCGTCGATATTACAGTCACATATTATTAATTGGTGGCACTAACTTAATACTACAGATTAACACAAACAGAGGTGAGAAATATTAATATTTCATAATATTTTTCAATATTAGCGCGCATACGCGACTAAGATCCCGTTTACACAAAATTGTTCTATACGCTTCATACACTTTTTTAAGTATTCGTTTTAATGTAGATATACAAAACAGTTCAAACGTATAAGTAACGTTCAAAGGTTGTAGGATTTTTTGCAATACTTAAATTAAATGTAAACTACAAAAAAACAGGACAATACCGTGTGGAAGGGGTCTTTGTAGCAATGCAGTCGCTCGGCTGAAACGTGTGAAAGCGCTTTAAGAAATGCAAATGTATTATTTGACTCTAATCACAAAATTCTATATATATATTTATTCCATTATACTGAAGAACTTTTTACAATTAAGCTTAAAAAATATATTATTTATTATATTTATAACAATGTTTAAAAAGACTATAAGTTCTACTTAATTTCTACAACAAGTACTCATTGCATTGACAAGACACGTAGACTCACTTTCTTACTACACTAAAATAAATAGGCAAATAAACTATATATAAAACTAATATTGTTAAATAAATTGTAGGGGTGACTGGTACTTGTTATAACTACTAGCAGCAGGTTTTATCCGTCAATATAAATATAGAAAGCTTTATATATTATAGATTACACTTTGGTTTCAAATTAAGACTTAACGCGATGCGATTCACAAGCCTAACCTCCAGACGGCGGTATCGAAAGATGTGATCCTATACTGCGGTTCAACCAGGTAACAAAAAAAACGCGTAGATTTTGATATTTGTTTATGGATAATTTTAAATTAGATTATAAAACGAGCTATGGTAGACGTTGTACCAAATCTTCTGTGCAAGTTGTAACTTTTAATGTTAAGAATTCATATTGCAATAACTATATAGATACAAAATACATATATGCATTATGTTTGTCCATTCTGATCCTCTTATTAACATAATCGATATTCGTATTAAATACTAAAATACTTGATGATTAACGTGTACACAAAAAAAGACTATAATGTGTGGGCATTAAAAAATATAAGAATAGTAATATAAATTGTAACATCAAGCCCAGTCTCTCAGTATAGCTATTTATTTATATACAGTTCAAAAAAGAATGAGATTCTCCTACACGTAGTTTTTATGTTAACTCAGAATCCAGTCACCCGTATAGTTTAAAATACATTTATACTTGAAATGAGCCAAATGTACGTTATAAATAGTGATTTACTATTATATTATTTTTGTCTTATAATTCCAAGTGTGGCAGATTTTATCTATAAGTAAAGGCAAGTTGACGATATTCTATAATATACTAACATAGAAGTTTTAAATCAACAGACTAGTTTTTTTTTTAATAATGTCTTAACATAATTTTTAAATTTGTAATATGGAAATATCATAGGAGGTAGATGAAATATTCGTGATATTTATGTATCAATAGCTATTAACTGCAAAGAGTCTGCTGATTTAAAAACCTCGAGTGATCAATAGGTACATATTACTTAAATATATTATATAATTTGTAATATTATTATATGCCAAGACTTCGTGGAGTGGATTAGTTAAGTATACTGAACTACTTTTACTATGGAAGCAACATTCAATTCACGAAAAAATTATCAGCTGTTTCACACAAAAGTGTAATGCCTATGCTGTATTCGTTGATAGTATGAAACATCTGATTATTTTTCCGTGTATTCAGTGTTGCTACCATAGTAAAATTTGTTCAGTATACTTAATTAATCTACCTCACGAAGTGCTGGCATATATTAATATTACACCTTATACGTTTTAAGCTGATTTAGTGCCTACTTTTGCTATAAACGGACACTTATCCAAATATAATCAATCGATTGGATCTATCGATTTTCGATGTCAAATACCTAAGATACTACACCCAGACCCGATACAACACAGAAAGAACCCGAGATCTCAGTGGTAGCGACTTATTGAAACCGGCGACCTATCCATTCTGCCACGGAGGTCGTGAAAACAGAAATAAACACAAATGTTTTAATGTATTTAAGATGATTATTATCACTATTAAAATACGTTCCAAAACTTTAAAAGTTAAAAGTGCGTAAATGTTTCTAAAATCAGCTGTGTTTAAAGAGTACTTAATTCTAAGGATACAGTAGTTTTGGGCCTATTTTGGCACATTTGTCTACCGCACCCATGCCAAGTTTTATATCTAGAAAGGCGCGTGCATCATTGGGTGCTGGTGCTTGCCGGCCTGCGAACGAAATCTGAAAATAAAAGCTAATTTGCAGGAAGAATGTTTTAACAATTCACCACGAAACTCATACTGCCTTAAAATTAATGAAGGTAACAGGAAAGTGTATTTATTACTAGCTGCCATCAAGCGACTTAGAGGGTTTAAATCATAGCCTCTGTTACCCGTGAAGCTTCTCGCAGGTAAAAGGATTTTTAAAATCGGCCCACTAGTTTCGGAATCTATTCAATGCAAATAAACAATCAATTCTCCTTATAATAGATTGAATTATTTATGTTTTTTTTTTTTCATTATAATTGAGTGATTCTTCTATTATGTCATAACAATTATTGATATGTACATAAATACCACTGCCATAACTTCAACTTCAAAATTAATTCAATATTCATTAAAAATGGTTGTTATTAAGTTAGAAATATTACTAATATATTATTTTCCACTTTGTTGTAAATACAATATTTAAACGATTAACTATTTACAACTTACCTGAGCAAGAGGATGCAAATGACGTTCAGGGAACTCTTTCTGATGTGCCAGAACCCAATCGGCTGGCCACATAGTGCCATTCCTAGCGGTGAATGGCAGGATTAAAACATACACTCTGTTAGTAGCAGAAAATGCTACCCGATAATAGTGGCCTTTTGTTGCCCGCTCCCATACAAAGCCGTCGGCGTCAGCGCCTCCACGTTGAAACCAAGGTACGCGTGAGACATCGTCAGCATGGATGCCGATCTCAGCGTATTCAACCCATGGTAACAAATCGCTCCTGGAAATCAGTGAAAAATTGTTAAACACGTTTGTGGAGCAATAAAAAATACTTTAAGCCGGTATATTTTGAAACCTTATATACCGAAAAGTAAGTGTTCATTTAAAAACAGGGCCAGGGTAATCTACAAATCCACAAGAATTCATGATTAACAAACCCCCCCCCACCCACTGTTTAAAAGATGTCACGTTTTGATCCAAAGAAAATATGGTCACGTTAGCCATGTCTCACCACGCTGATGAAGTGTGAATTAGTTGCATTTTAACAACTGCAGTTACAGCCAGGACCAACGGCTTGCCTTCGTTGGCGAACCTAACGTGCTTACCACTCCGCCATTATGCTTCTCAATGTTCATTCAGTACAATATTTGTCATCCAACTGCGACAGAAAACACCACATAAATGAAACTTGAATTTTCTCCAATATATTGTTCTTTTATTGATAAAAAACGAAAAAATATTTTCTCTGTGTATTATAACTTAGTTTGTTGACTTTCACAAGATTTTTGTAACAACTTTAACTGATCATATTAATTGGTTTGATATAAGACACTGTAAAAAAGTCTGACATTTTAGTGATGATAAACTATTGACAGGTAATATCACAGGGAAAAGGCACCTTAAACTCTACCACAACCTACCACCTTAAACCATCCCGCAAAACGACAGGTTAGAGTGACTTGCCTACCTGATAAAATCCACTGCGGTTCACCTCGCGCAGATAGGTGTGTACGGTATCCTGCAAGGTCCTGCCCGGTCCCTCCCCCCCTTCCACTCTCCCTAATCTTGTGCTATGGCTTTTCAAAATGTGAAATCATGAAAATAAGAATACTTACTGTACAACAGCTCCTAATAATGACGTAGTTTCTAGCCAACATCGAACACCTGCTTGTAAGAGCGCTCGCAATACATGTCCCGCTGTTCTCCTCATATTACGACGACAACATGGTGGAGTGTTTCGCCCAGATAAAATATAAGATGGCGTCCCTTGCACGGATGGGTAGCATCTCTGGAAAAATAAATTGAACATACTTTACTAACTTGCTGAACCTTTTTCCCTCCTCTTGACTCCTATCAATTAGTAATAGATAGATATCAACTTTGGTAATGTTCTATAGGTCCCAATAGGGTCTTGGAGTGCAGTATCAAAATAATGTGTTGGTTTGTCTAAACGCAGTTAACTAGTTAAAATAAACTCAATTTTATGGAATTCTTAATAACTTTTCTTAATAAAATAATAACTTTTGGTGTCAACTCTGGAAAGCCGCTCATGATGGGTGCATGCAATGTCATAACTCACGGCCATACCAAGCCTTGTATGGAGAAAGCAAGACTATGCATTTATTGTATTTTAAAGTTTACAAGATGCACTGACTTTTAGGATAAATATTAGGCATCACAAACATTCTGATAGCTGTATCTATCTATTTATTATGTCTGTAAATACATATATTAAATGATTTTAATAATCTAATAAAAAGACTTATGCTCATTTTCACTAAGTTTAGGAGTCGCCCAAATCTGTTGCCTTAATATTTAGGAATCGCCTAAGATGAATATGCATTTCACCATTGACTAGGTACCACCTAACGAAATTAAGCAGTGTCTAAAGTTATGATATTCGCTATGCGTCGCCTCGCGCTAGGCGTTTGCGTACATAACAGGTCATAAACATGTCAAGGGATAAAAGAAAAAATATTTGGAATTAACCTAATCTGCTTAGGCAATTCATTAGGTGTTTCCTAGTTAAGCTATGCCTTGTTCTAGATTAGTGAAAATGGCTGTAAGACACTTTAAAAAAATAGTCCGGGACCCTATTTCCTGTTAAATATATAAATACATTTACATGAAGAACAAATAGTTATACTTAATATTGATGGGGCAAACCTGAGTTTCTTTTTTGCAGCCAAACCACTGCACTCTACCATCTTCTCTGATTACAGCTTTCACACCAAGCTGTTTATATAGTGCCACTCTATAATCTCTCATGCGACGTGATACTCTCTGGCGAGCTCCAGGAGACTTTAAAACGCTACGACCCCCTCCCAATTTGCCATCCATTATTTGAATCTAAAAAATATTGAAAAATCTGAGTCACAGAACAAAAAAATCATCCATATTGACTGGCAAAATCCACTGGTAATCAAATGGATAGATGCAACACTAATCAGTAAACTAAACAGCTATTAATCAGTAATTTTAACAGGAAAAGAGCAATCGGACGACAGGATAAACTGATGTATTCATATCTAACTTTTATGACCATTGTTTATACTGCAATTACTTTAAATTGGTATTTTTCAAATTCTAATTTGCATTTTAATTAACTTTGTATACATACATACATAATGATACTAAATAGTAACCAAAACCAAAATATTTTTTAGATCCGAAACTTTTTATTCTGTAAAATTCTTTGTTCTATATTAATCAACTTAAAGTTACCTTTAATAGTTTGTTTTTCTGTTCTGCAAAACAATTTTGGTTCTGCGCGTTATTCCATATATATTTGCTTTCTAGCATCAAGATTTTAATTGCCACAAATTATAAGTTTATATCATGCTAAGTTAGTGTATCCTATGAAGATATTCATAAGCTATAGAACAGACACCTGCTTTAATTACAATTTTAATGAATGTGAACATATTCACTGAAATAATTAAAAAAATGGGCAATACTGACCTTAATATTTTTTACTGCTGTTTGTAAATAGAGTGACTCTGGGAATGGTAATATAAATGGTTGTGGCATAGAATGGAGTAGTGACGTTCTTATAAGCAATGCATGTTGCCCATGTATTGCATCACACAACTTTCCTGATGCATCCTTAGTGTATTGTAAAGTCCATTCAGCATAATTCCACTGTACTTGTAGACATACAACATGAACATTAGCTATAGGTATAGCAATAGCATGATTCGGAAACGCTGTAGCGGCGGCAGCCACTTGCTGAAGCACCCGACGAGAGGCCCTCACTGAATCAGGCACAAAAAGTACAAATTCAGTTAGGATATAACTAAAAGGATTAAGATCTCGAGGCGAGGAATCCAACTTAAGTTCCAGGGAAATCACTTTCACGTTACGTAGAGTCTCGTTCGTGGCTGAGAATGGAAACGGTGGGTAAGGTTGACTATCACTAACGACGACCACGGGCATATTCGGAAACGCACTAACAAACGACTGGACACTATCTGCGACATCATTTTCGAAATCTTCAAACTGACGAAACACTACAGTAAACAATTTGGACAAATGTCGAGAAGTACGTGTATGAAGTGCATTTTGAGAAACAGTCGGTGGAGCAATAGGATAGATCCTAAATTGAGGGAAGAAATATCCAGTAACAGAAACAATAAGAATAACAGACAAAAAAACAAATAACTTGAACTTCAAACGACCGCGGAGAAATCGATAAAACATTATCTATTCAATATTTATTTTCATTTCACATTGTCACAACTTTTTCTTCCTTCCTTTCTCAAAGGCTCAGCTGCGCTTTTCGCACAAAAATTCTTTTTATCCTTTTAAAACGGACACCTTGAGTGACAGTTAGTGACATTGACAGACAATACACATACGGACATGACAGTGACATTGACAGACAATATGTTTTATTTCTTCTTCTTTTTTAATAATGGCTTATCTGGCATTTCGCACAATTCTGCCATGTCAAGTAAATAAATTAATTTTTACATGTAAAATGAAAATGAAATGAACGAAAGATGGCGATGATTTATAAGCACATTATTACTTCTATGTTTTAATTAGTAAACTTTTTGTCTGAATATTATTAACAGCACAAACGTACATAAAAATTGTCATCAGTTTATGCGACATTACCCATACAAATATGACATTCTTTAGACTTTTTAGGCGTCATTTAACCGTTTGTGCAACTGACCGTAAATCTATTTACGTCGTTCCACCATCTAATTCTAGAAGCGTCCTATTCTATTCAGTCTAGCCTTCTATGACATTATATCACTGACATACGCCAGTAATAATTTAACAATCGTTTTTACTAGAAAAATCGTATACGTCGATCATCGCCATCTTTTATTCATTTCATTTTCATTTTACATGTAAAAATTAATTTATTTACTTGACATTGGCAGAATTGTGCGAAATGCGCAGATAAGCCATTATTTAAAAAAGAAGAAGAAGAAGTTTTTACTAAAATACAGTGTTCGTTACCTTTAGAATTTTTGCCATAATAAAATATGCCATATTAGGTACACATTTTATATCAAAGAACATTAATATTTTGATATATTCATTAATTTTGCCCAATCCTACACAATTTTGGATATTAAAGGTGATTTTTTGCGTTTTACGATACTTGACAAGATATCAATATGAATATCCGATTACAGTCAGGAATCTTAGGCACTTTGTTGATTCCACAAACTGTACTGTACAGTTAGGAATCTAAGGCACTTTGTAGAGTTTACCAACTGTATCTGTACCACTGTTTACAATTAGGAAGAATTAAACAAAACATAAGTTCCCAAAATGACAACCCTTTTCTTTTCTCTTCTCTGTGAGATTTCTCCATGACAACCCTTCCGGTTTTCTTTCACGTTTAAAAGTAAATAAGTTTCCAAAACTCAATAAACAACTTATATTCTATTTGTACTTTTTCGTATTTGTATTGATATCTAAGTTTTGAACTTTTCAAATTTCAGTTTTTTAATATGTTAATTAAAAGGAACGGAAATTACTGTCTTTAGTCCATGCGTTTCTTGCAAAAATCAACTTTTGCTAGAGTCGCCATCTATTGGAGGTGTTTTTTAGTGCTTTCGTTTTTTTTAAATACTTCCTCATTTTATAAGTTTATTTATAACACGCCTCACATTAGATATCATGATCATTAATGCCTTCCGAATACAAAATAACAGTTTTTCGTTACATGATTAATGTCAAAATGGAGTACAGTTGAGATCGCCGATATTGACATTTGAAAATTGTAGTCGCTCACATTTTACGGCGATTATGACTTTGGGTTGTCATTTGAGTTATTTGCCTGCAGATTTAAGAAATATTTTTTTACCTACTAAATTTGGAAATCTATTATTTTTTCGAATTCATTCCATGTATAACAAGGTAGAAGGCAATGTTTTGAACAACACATGATTCGTTAAGCAGGTCACAATCTTCTCTATGGTCATATAAAAGGGGCCCAAGAATGAGGCAATATTCAAATAAAACCTTAATTCCCGAAATCAAACTAGTTGTCGCTACGGTAAGTTCTTGATTTCATTTGTACTTTTTCGTATTCGAATTGATATCTATGTTTCGAACTTTTCACATTTCAGTTTTTTAATATGTTAGTTAAAAGGAACTAAAATTACTGTCTTTGGTCCATTCGTTTCCTGCAAAAATCAACTTTTGCTAGAGTCGCCATCTAGTGGAGGTACTTTTTTAGAGCTTTCGTTTCTTTAAATACTACCGATACTACCTCATTGTATTCCTAGGGCCCCTGACAGAATTAGTCTTCTTTTATTAATGGCTTATCTGCGCATTTCGCACGTTTCTGCCAATGTCAAGTGAATAAATTAATTGCTACATGTAAAATGAAAATGAAATGAATGAAAGATGGCGATAAATTAGTCTGGCCCTGGATGTATGCAACGTCACTTCATACAAATGTCAAATTCTAATTGTCAAATGGTCAAATAATAATTTAATCAAATTACAAGTTCGTCCGTGCGCTTATCTTTATTTTTGTAAAATTGTTATACTAAATTATTAGAATTATGGATGAAAACAAGGACTTTGACCCCTTGGAGCCTTCTCTGAAAAATGTTATTGAGCAAAAATCCCTTCGTTGGATCTTTGTAGGAGGGAAGGGAGGTGTTGGAAAAACTACATGCAGGTATGACGAAATATTTATGATTAGCATTACATATTGATTGAAATAGAAGACAACCTAATTAATTTAAAAAGCTTACCCATTTTTTGTTGTTTTTTCTAGTTGTAGTTTGGCTGTCCAGCTGTCTAAAGTTCGAGAATCCGTTCTTATAATATCTACTGATCCTGCGCACAATATATCTGATGCATTCGACCAAAAATTTTCAAAGGTAAGAATATCAATTAACCTGATGGTGTACGGGTGCAGTCCAAGACCCGTCCAGACCGCAATGAGTTAGTCAATATATATGCCTGTCTCTACGTTAATTGTAAAACTTGTATGTATTTTATACCAAGCATAAGATTATTTTATTCTTACTATCTCAATGTTATTACATACTTTTATATGTAGATTTACATTAAAGTTTGCAAAATAATATTGGTTCTGCAGTTCTAAAATTGAGATAATTATTGTAAACTATATTTTAAGTTTAAAATAATAACATCAGTAACAGTGATTTTTTTTGTAGAATTTAATAAATTAAAACTAAACTAATTTAACAAATCATATTTTAGTATACAGTATCCAAGCTGGAATTACCCTAGCTTGCCCTCCATTTGTTCCTTATCAAAATATTTAAGTGTTTCACCCCTTATACAATCTCATAAGTGTTTTGTTTGATATTTAATCTCTTCTATGTTACAGGTACCAACAAAAGTCAAGGGTTTTGACAACCTATTTGCAATGGAAATTGACCCTAATGTAGGTTTAACTGAACTACCGGAAGAGTATTTTGAGGGTGAAGCTGAAGCAATGAGGCTTGGCAAAGGTGTAATGCAAGAAATTGTTGGAGCATTCCCTGGTATTGATGAAGCTATGAGCTATGCTGAAGTAAGTTCTACTTAAATGATACAACAAATAAGGATACTAGTTTTTAATATACTATAAGAAATTTGCTGAATACCCAAGTAGCAGAATTCAGAATAATAGAAGTTTCCAGAATGTTTTAGTGCATGTTATTGTTATAAATATTAAAAACTAAACAAAACAAATTTTAGTGTAGCTATGGACTAGTATTGTGGTGTGATTTACATTTATTTATAATTTCTTTATAAATAAGTTTATAATTTCTTTATAAATAAGTTTATAATTTTTTTATAAATAAATTTATAATTTAAGTCTGTTATACAGTGGTGGCCATATAATTAAGAATGCTCCCCTGAAAATAGTACATTTATTTAGAAAAAAAATTTAGCTTGTTGCATTTATTCTTTTTTTATTATTGTGTTACTCCAAAATCTTTCTACATTGTAGGTACTTCCTTGTTTGATTAGATTTATTATTAAAAAAAAGTATAAGTCACACAAAAGTAAAATCTAATCCAAGAATTACTTGTTACTGGCTGGTCATATAATTAATAATGCGAACTATTTATTTTTTTATTCAAGTCGAACAAAGAACACCCTTTGGTTATACAATTTTCTCATAAAACTGGCGCCATTTAGTAATGTAAACCCAATTGGAATATAATTTTTCAAAGTAATAATGGGAAAAAATAATAGTTGCGACAAATCTACAAGAGAGATTATATTAAAACTGGGAGAAGAATTGGTTTTATAAGAAAATAGTTGATCATCTGCAATGTATGAAAACCATGATCTTCAATACTGTGAAACATTTTTAAACTTATAACAGTACTTTAAATATTCCGAGAAAAACATCGTTCGTTTGGCGAAATTAAGTCCTATCAAATGGTCTACGAAACAAGATACGAAAGGAATATTTTATCGAAAAAAACCGCTCTGCGATCTCGGCACGCATTATTTGAAAGCGTTTAGTAAAAGAAAAGTTTTACGGCTGAATAGCAAAAAAGGTACATATGCTAAAACAGTGCAATAAGAGCGCCCGGCTCGCCTTTGCAAAAAAAAGTATGAAATCTAGACAGTTAAAACAGTGGTCAAATGTACTTTTTTCTGATGAAACGAAAATAAATAGTGTGCTCTGATGGATGTTGATCTTTTGACCCTAAATTTACTAATGTGGCTTTTAAACTTGGTGGTAGCAAGTTGAACATTTGGGGTTGCTTCTCTGGTCATGGAATTGGGCCTATCAGGCTTATAGAAGGAAACATGGATCAAGTTCAATACAAATATTTGTTGGATGAAACAATGTTACTTCTAATTATTTGGAAATTACACTATGATAATCATCCAACACATACAGCCCGCTCTGAAAGGGATTTCTTCACTTTCAATCCGTTTCCGTCTTAGACTGGCCAGCTAACAGCCCTGGTTTAAACCCAATAGAACATCTTTGGTGTAAAGTTAAAAAAAAGTAGCAAATCGACTGTGTCATTGATAATGTAAGGGAACTATACGACGGTTTCTCGGAAAAATGGAGTTCTATTTCTCATGCAAAATGTCAAAAATTGATAGAGTCAATGCCTCGTTAGTGTAAAGCAGTTATTAAGAGTTGTAATATCAATTTTGAAACCAAATATCAATATCAATTTTGAATGTACATTTTTTTATATTATAACAATGCAATTACTCTGTATTTTATTTTAAACATTATACCAACAGCTTGAGAGTATTATTATTAATTATTTGTCAGCTTCATTATGATATACTATAATAATGTCCACAATAAATACACTTTTACAAAAAAAAGTTACTAGTTTTATGTTTACTAACTGGTTCTCTGAATATGTAAGTAAATACATACAAAAAGTGCTAAAGCATATGGCTAAAGTACTGCCTATAATCCACATATTAATATGAGATTATTTGTAATATTCAATTAAATTATTTATATCGTGTTTGTTGTTCTGCATGAATTGGTTATTTAAAAGTCTGCAAGTTTTTCGTTTTGTTTGAAAATGAGAATTTAATCTCAAGAAAAATGTGGACAATAAACATACTCTTAAGTAGTTTGTACACAAAGAAATAAATATTAATTAATGATTTTATAAAAATCTATAACAGCTAAGAGAAACTCTTGAGTTGTTATTTTCATAGTATGTATAGAAGTTTCAAGTAGATTGCTACATGTAATAATGAGTGTTTGACTTGTAGTGGTCCATTCCTCATTGTGCAGACGATGGATGCAGATTACTGTTCTTTTTTGATTTCTCTCTATTTAGGTTGAAGATATATTCTTGTATTGGCAATGGTATTTGTTGCAGGTCATGAAACTTGTGAAAGGCATGAATTTCAGTGCAGTTGTTTTTGACACAGCACCCACTGGTCATACTTTGCGCTTGCTGTCGTTTCCACAAGTAGTGGAACGTGGCCTTGGCAAGTTGATGCGTCTTAAATCGAAGGTAATTAGGATAAGATTGATCTGAAACATGCACGAGTTATCAGATCTGAATTGCAAACTATTCTATAATACTTTAATATTTCTCATTGAGGTTGATTACAATAAAAATTACCCAACCATCACTCAATAGCATATTCAATGCATGCAATATTTCCAAACCCGTGCGCGTAACCACTTACCGTAAGTCGAAATTAGGGCTGCCGATCCCGCAGCTTATATATAATATAGGTATTTGCAGGATTCCGCACATAGAATTAATAATGATAATGTTATATAAAACCTCGAATCATCAATGTTACTTCACTCTTGAGTTTTACTACCCTTTGAGTTTTAAAATTTGAACTAAATATCCTTGGTCAGCCTTCAGTAGAAAAGGTTTTTGAAGAAAACATAAAATGTCCACTATCATCTGCCATACTACAATGATAGTCGAGCTACACAGCGAAAGTTCGTTTCGGCTTTTAAACAAGTCAACGGTATTCCTTTTATAGATTTTTATGAGATTGTTAGATGTTTCAGTTTCGTAATGCGTCTTATAAAGCTCTCCACTACTTATCTGGTCTTCAAATTTTTACAGGTTGCACCTTTCATAAACCAAGTAGCGACATTGTTTGGTCTTGCCGAATTCAACTCTGACATGTTTAGCAACAAAATGGATGAGATGCTCTCTGTCATCAGACAAGTAAACGCACAATTCAAAGACCCAAATCAGACAACCTTCGTATGCGTTTGCATTGCGGAATTTCTTTCCCTCTACGAGACTGAACGTCTAGTTCAAGAGCTAACAAGGTGCGGTATAGACACACACAATATCATCGTAAATCAACTTTTATTAAGAACATCGGCGCCGTGTGAACTATGCGCGGCACGACATAAGGTTCAAGAAAAATATTTAGAACAAATCGCAGACTTGTATGAAGATTTCCATGTAACCAAATTGCCACTTCTCGATAAGGAAGTCCGAGGTGCAGCAGCTGTAAATGCATTTTCCGAATACCTTATCAAGCCATATGAACCTCCAGCGTCCTCTACATGAAAATATATTAGAATTATTACAATCTGCTCTCGGTATAAGAATGCATTGGGTTTTATTATTGTATCAGTGTAACTACTTACTTAATTTCCTACCAAATATTTACGTGTAAAGGGTGCTATTGGTCACAAATGACATTTTTAAATATTGCTTTTCAATAACCGAGATTCATTTTTTTAAGCATCCCAGTACCAATCATTGTATTATAATTCCATAGATTGTATATTATTCAAAGTAATATAAATAAATGTATTATAACTAATGTATTGTCTTTTAAATCAAACTAAAAATATTGCATGTAAACAGTTTATTTCCCGTATTAAAACATAATTACAACAAATTTTGGTAATAACTTTATTGGCATCACCTATTTCTGGTAAATAATGGACCAGAATTTTAAAAGTGCGTAGAAATGTATGTATTAAAATCTAAACATTCAAATAAATATAACAATATATCTTGTGAGGCTTGCCAAATTAAAATAATGAAACCAAATCTCTGAATTCGAAAAATTTTGCTAATCCGAACATAATACTGCCTGGCCCCAATGTTGTTTGTACAATTGATTAAAACATGTAAACAATATTTACAATAGGGCTATATTTAATCAGATTAAATTTAAACTCAAGTTAGCGCTTCTCAGCTCATGGGATAATCGAAAATCATTTATCAAACTATCATGAAATCATTACTAACTTGTGCTTTAAAGCCCTATTCAGTTAAAATGCTTAACGAACACAAAATATAGGCACTGCAAAATTGTACAATTTGAAACAATGAGGTTTCAAATTGTACAAGTATAGTGATAATTTAAGCAAAAACTAATATCAGATACATTATGTACTACTAAAGATTGTAAATTCTAACTATAATTTTGTACATTTATTATCATAGTACTGTACACTTAATATTATAAATTTTATGAAAAGCACGTAACATTACTATAAAAACTTTCAAGTCGAGTATAAGTCAACATATCTAATACCTAATTTAAAAATAAACACCAACATTGGCAGTGTCAATACTGTAAAATGCATGAACTATATTAATTAAGATTACCACATTTATGTATCCTTCAGCATTTTCCCGATATCAGCAGCAAATGGCGTTCTCTAGAAAATAAAGTTTTCTCTAACAACAGATATCCAATCGCTTTAACGGCCGATGTTTAAACCAGAGCTAAACCAATCATACACATTAGTTAATATATTTTGCATCGCAACATTAAAAAAAATAACATAAAGATTATATTATATGTTTAACAAACTCTAAACAAAGCCTACTGAAGCGGGAAACACCGAGGAAAGCATGTAGACTAATATATATAGCTTGTTTTAGAATAAATCAATTAATCAAACCTATGAATCCCTAGTTAATTTAAAATATGGTACAGTCACTAATTTTGACGGAAAACAATATACTATCTACCAATTTCACTCTCGTCACTACCAGAATCTAAATTTATGAAATACAATTATGAATAAATTACATTTTTAATGTTAATAACCCGTTTTATTTACTAATTTCCATTTAGAACATTCTCTTTTAAATAATAATAAAGAAAACATGTAAAAGCGCAACTTTTAATGTCTAATCTTAAATTCTCAGTATTCTGAACATTATTTAAAGTTATTCAATTATGAAAATTATACCAGTCAGATGAGCACAAAAATAGGTGAACCTCGGAATAAAGACAATAACTTATTTTTATAGTTTTATTCTAGCGTTTTAAATGCTGTCTTAAAAGTCACATAATCTTCTCGTAAGTTGTGTCTGCATCGTGAGATATTCAAGTTCAAGTGTCCATCAATCCATCTCATTTTCCAATTATTAATCGCAATTATCTTTAGTTTTATAGCTCTAATGATGTTAAAGAGACGTAAAGCTAAAATAATTAGAAGATGGTAAATTGAGCGTTGTAACAAAAATGCTGCATAATTCCCTCGGCTATAATATGAGACACATATTTATAAATTTTTCACTTAAACTTTAAAAACTACTAATTATTTATTAAGAGTAAACGATTGTGACCTTCCACTCCGAATAACTTACAATGCAGACATAATTCAATGAGACTTTTTTTTATCTTTCATTCGGAGGTGAAACGCTGATTAGACTGGTCAACCAACAATTTCAGAATCAACAAGAGCTATAACCTAAGCTGAAGTAAAAATAATTGATTAACATTTCACTAATTTGACAGTTAAAATATAAGGAATTCCATTGAACTATATAAGAATAAAGAACCTTTTTCAATTTACTTTATATAATTAATAATAACATATATAATAATAATAATAATACTAAACAAAATGTTCAAAACAGAAACAGCAATTAAATGCAGAACTCTAGTTCACACACTCCAAATTCAACATTTAAAAAACATCAAAAGAATCAATCAGTTCATACATGAGTAATATTTCGTATAATACTAACAACCCGGTAAACCTTTGATAACGCAGTCTATAAAACATCGTCGAGATCATAAAACAAACATTGTAAGTGTCAATTAAATTACTATTTTATTAATTTGCCATAAATAATACAATAGATTTGAAACCCGGTTTCTAAAATTTATTTTCAAATAAGTTAACTGTTAGCCAATAATATTATAATTTAATTTCGAATCTCTCTTTATGCCTTTCAAATCAGTCACGGATCAATTTTTTTTTCAAACCGGGTAGAGACGAGCTTATTAACCAGAACTTGATGCACCCATCGCTTCAACATTAAAGATAATTTGAAAAAAATACATACAGCTATATAATGGAAGCCATTTTTCTATGTATGAATAATAATTAAGGATTAAAATTTGTCGACCCTATCTGCTGCCTGGTTAATCTGCTGCCTAAAACTGGTTATATATATATATTTTTTTTTCTTGTAATGTATTACAAGAAAAAATGTTATATAAAACTGTCATGATTCTTGTAATGCAGCGCGATAGTTTAAAAGTGAATGTTATGTTTCTTTCAAAATCAACTGTGGAAAATTGACATTTACAGGTAACATGGTGTGCCGCTGAGTGTCAAAATCCTAAATATATATACATAAATATGAAACAATTACATCACATACACAATTCACACTTGGTGTTATAAAAATCAGTAAGTTTAAAGACACGAAACGGTGTACACAAAAACACTAGAAATTTCGATTACTATATGGAGTCGACGAATAGCACATGTTCAAGCCATATTCAATACCGTTTTATGACCTCAACCTTATTATGGCTAACTTAAATCGATCTCTTGGGTCAACTAGACCGCTGTTGGACGGAAGTGTGCCAAGTAGCCAAAGTTGCACCTATAATGGTGCCTAAAAGTGCGGCGGCACAAGTTAAATATTCGAATATCAATTTAGGAGCAAATACGCCCCATATCATCAGATGACGGCAGTGAATAGTAGCTGACAGCGCGCTAGCGAATACCTGTATATGAATTTAAAATAAATCAATTTCATGTCTTAGGTGCTTCAAAATCAAAACTAATAAAATCACGCATCTGTGTCGTAAGTTATTTACTTTGTAAATACTTGAGTGGGATGAGCATTTTTAATCTCAAAACGGTCAAGAGTACAAAAATGCGTTTAGACAAGTCCCAAAAATGCCCTATAAATTTCAACATTAAAGCAATAAACACATGAGATTATCGCAAAAACCGATTGACCTTTGACCTTGAATAAATTACGACAGAGACGAGATTTTATAAGAATTGAGGTAATATTATTAGAAAGGTTATCATAACGTAGTATACTAGTAACTAGATAGAGAGACAAAAAGCGTACATTTCGACGTTTCGAAACAAACCAAGTCCTCACCAATATGAGAATGAGACAAACGGAAGCCTAGTGAGTTGTATTTTACGCCTTGATTATTATAACAAGATTGATTATACCTCTTAATCATACGTTCGATAATTATCGAAATGGCCAAGTTTCATCTGCTCGACCGAAAATTCACGACCCGCCATTTTCGCTGGGTTTTACAGAAGGTACTTTATTTCAGATTTAAATTACAATCTTCATCCATACAACTGACCACAGATACAATAACAATTAGAAGCGATACAGTATTGTATAAATACTCACCCTAATACCGAAGCACAAAGAAAATTTCAGACACAACAAGAAGACAGCTGCCAGCTGCGTCCTTGGGCCTACATTGTTAGCTCCATTTCTGCCCCACAGAGCCAGCAAAGGCACCGCTGCACCGAACATTAGAGGCATTCCTAGAAAGTTAATAAATAGGCAATAAGTAATAGACAACATCACTTCAAATTTTGCTCTGAACCCAAATCAAGTAGGTAAAGCTTTTGTATTATGTTAATTTAAAACAACTAGGATGCTTCAACATCAACTCTCATACCCATAAAAATATACAAAATTAAGGGAATCAAAACTGGGACCTCAGAAATGATATTTTGAAACCAGCGTGTTAGTCACACCGCCACGGCTGGCGTCGAATAAATCGACAGCTCCTACGTAGAATATTGTAACTAAATAAGGATAATCTATATTATTTTTAACTTTACAGTACAGTAAAAAAATATTACAAACTGTTTATCGTAATTTATCAAATATCTTCATAGTCTTTATAAATAAACAATATGACCCGGTGTACTTCGTATCACCTCTCACTGTTGAACTTTACCTTCCCTGATCTACGACAATCATCTCAAAACCAAAATCGGTTAAATCGGACCAGCCTTTCTAGAGTTTTAGCAAGACAAACCAACAGCAATTTATAGATAGATTTAAATTCATAAATAGCAATAGACAGTTTTAAAATCTTTATTTGGCTGTAGTAAAGTTTCATTACACTGTTTGAGTAGTCATGTAAAAAACAGCTCGCATCCTGTTACCGAAACAGCATTACCAGCAAAAATTGAGTCCAATAAAATTTTGATTACGATTAAGTAGAACTTTATGGATGTAGAGCGACCTTCTAATTAACCAATAGATTGTAATGAAATATGACAAGTTACCTTTTCTGAAATACAACCACGTAATTCTCATTTTTTTACACAGTGATTATAAAATTTGAATCAAGGCCAGACTTGAATTATACTAAATTAGATTTTCAATGTAAGATGTCTTTGCTTTCATAAATAGATAATATCAAATGCTGATAATATATCAGTTTGCAAATACAATATAAAATCAAGTTAACTGATAAGTGAGTAACAATAATATGTAATAGTTACGAGTAATTAAGAACTCTTAATTTATAGTTTTTTTTTTAATGAAGCAACCTCATTTTTACTTGTTATTGTGAGATTAAAAAATACTCACCAAAAAGATCAAGAGACACTAACGCGGCACTGATCGGTGTTCCTATGACGAGGTAGTTAGGATCCCCGGCGTGAAACGCGGGCGCCCACCGTACATGTCCCAAAGTAGCGTGGTGGCCGGTCCCATAAAAGTAATAGGAAGCAAATAATGCCCAAACGCATGCGACACTAGAGCTGCACCTTGTTGATAATGCTAAAATGAAATAAATTGATCGCGTAAGTCGAAATATCTATTTCAGTAACTTAGGCAATTACAATTTTTATCAAATATACACTTACAAAACTTCGAATTCCCACTGCTCCTCAACATTGAAACTATATTCAATACTAGAAATCCTGTTAGAAGAGCCAGTGCAGCGGTTGGGGCAAAACTTACCCCCAAAACCAATGTGTTAGCAATATACAAAATTAAACTGCACGCTATTAACGGCAGTATGGTCCCTTTGCCTTCTTTCCTCCAGAGCATTGCAAACATCGTGATTAATACTAGCCATGATCCACGAGCTAATAATCTAGACCTACTGGGTGACCCCAAACTACCCCAACCTACTGCCCAGTGAGCGCAAGCGAATAAGCCAGCCAATACAATACCATAACCACGCCACCCAATGTGACGTCTGGCTACAGCTACCACAGCAGCAACAGATCCTAAAGCTAAAACTAGCGCAGCCCTAGTAGCTTGCCCTGTAGGAATACCTTCTCCCTCTGTCCAACAATCACCTTGTTCTTCCCTACATCCCCTGTAAGATCTAGTAATCGCTAACACTACCCCACAGCACACCCACACAGCCAATGCTTTGATTGTTCCCACATTCCAAGCCATCAAACCCAGAGCACTTAATCCTAAAAAAGATAGACCAGCTCCTTCTTCGATGATATAACTATTTGATACTAAAACAGCAGCTGATGCCACCAGTGCTCCTCTAGAAAATCGTTCATAAAACAGTGAACGTCCTTCATACCACCTTTGTGTGATGCCGTCCCAATGCATTATGACTAGAGTGCACGTGATTGCGCCAGATATCAACCCAGTACTTAAATATATAGCATGTTCAAGATCTTCTATGAGTTCAAAATGGTATGCACTATAACATATACCTATGCACACTGCCATTGCAGATATACCACTTGAGACAAAAGAACTAGCAAATATCGAAGGAATATGTTCCATAGGCACCCCTTCTGTGATCAACCAGTTAAAGAAAATAGCTAAAAGAAGTAAGAGTAGAGCACGTAACATAGACAGTGAATCAAATTCAACCCATACTTCACGGAATACTATACGAATATTTTCAATCAGTCCTCTGAAACAGAAATAGTTCTTATTACTAACAAGATAAGGTTGAAAAAGAGATGCATTATTTGCACTGTTTGATTTACCTCACATCATTCATAAAATTGTTTAATTCTTGCTCAGTTTCAACTAACGAAGCTTTTTCTATTTGTTCTCTAGTGGCATTAATAAGATGAGCAAGTTTATCAAGTGCAACCTGTTGAGACTCTTCTCCATAACGTATTAGGTACTGTCTGATCTGTAAACATAATTTCAATAAGTACCAAAGAGTATGAATAAAAAGTTAATGAAATAGAAGGTTTTGCACTTCCTACCTGTTTTAGATTATTACTTAAGTGTAGTAAAGTACGTAGAACTGTCATTTTTGGTAAAATGGGAAGCCAAACACTTCCAAGGGATGGCGCAGGTGGTGGACGTCCTAGTGCCGCACTTAACGTAGGAGCTAGGTCTGTCTGCTGCACTTCTATACCAACATTCCGCTGGCCACTGTCTCCACCAAGTCCATCACTACGATAAGCAAATAATGCAGCAGTTCGTTCGGCTTTACTTTCCCCTCCATGGTCACCTGGTAATGAAAAAGGCAGAATTTAATAAAATATTCAAAAATTATCAGTTTCATGCATATTTTATATATTTAGCACAATTTTCAAACACTTGACACTTTCAAATTAATTAAAATAAAATAATTATTAACAATATTAATTAAAATAAATTTTTACAGATTTCCCACAAAAAATATGTAATACATAATCAATTAAGCATCTACTTAAAGACAAAATATGCTTTAGAATCACACACATTATAGCAAAAAATATTAGCTAAACAGAAAACAGGTATTTGATAGACACAAATGATAAATTATACTGCTACTTTCAAGCTCTAAAGTACCCACCATCTGAGATATTTCCTTCTTGTGAGTCTAAAACAATATGAAAATGAGTAGTTGTGTTAAATAACTTTTATATGACTCTTTTTTGAACAACTGGATATTATAATGTATGTCTTTACTTACTATTTAATTTAATATGAACCTGCCTGTTGTTTACAATAAATTAAATATGAATAGTATTCAATATAAATTATTCTTGCCAAGTATCGCCATGGGACAAAAAACTTCATTTTTATCAGTAATGGACGTCCTCATAAAATATTGAATGATAATTTCAATTTTGTAATCTAATTTTTCATCCAAACAATACATTACTTATATTAAAAAAATAAATAAAACAATACCTGTTTCAGTCATTCCATGATCTCCAACAACATATAATAGAACATCTGGTGGAAGTATCTCAATAATTTTCTGTAAGCGATCATTAGTTTCCTGCAATTTCCTAGTCATTTCCTGGTGATTTGGTCCATACCTGTGGCCAGCATGATCTACTCCTAAATAGTGAGCCACTAATATATCCCAATCATTCTTCTTTAACTCATCATATATTTTTGTATCTACCTCTGTCAACAAGCAATTTAAAATATTATCATTTAATGTCTATGTTCTTTGTATATATTGTTGTAAAAATACTTATAATTGTGATATAAAATTATTTACATTCAATTTACCAATCAATACTTTAATTCTTTAAGTAGAAAGGGGTCAACCTTGGAATGAGAGATAATAAACTTAAACATACTTTTCATTCTCATACATTTTAAAGTTCCTAAATATGTCAAGTCTTGTTTTGGGGTCAAAGGTCATTTGAGATTTTCAATTTCTCTGCGTGATTTTTTCTGTACTTTGTGATAAACAGAGGTCGGAATTAGGTAGAGTTATTTATGTACTTGCATCGAAATGTTGATATTAATGTGGACCTTCCCGGGATTTCTAATGGACATTCCCGTGTGGCCAACAATCTTACAACTAAATAATAATAACAACGTCAGAGATAGACAAATATAAAAAGATAATTAACATAAAATTTTTATTAGTTAACATTAATTTACAATACAAATTATTGATAGTCTTAAGCAAATTCTCATACGCATATTTCGCCTTTTTTATAAATAAGAGCGAATACTTTGCTTTATTTAAAAAAAAAAATATTTAAAAAATCACAGGATTTTTTCTGCTCTTTAAAATGAATCTCGGGATTTGAGGCATATCCACTTTATTCTTTCGCTGTATGAAATCAGTGTAAGTACATGAATAACCATACCTAATTCCGACCACTGGTGATAAATAATTCATTTTGAAAATATTAAATAATATTAATTTTGCATTATAGCTCTATCTATCTGAAAACTGTTTAGTATGAAATTGACATGCGATTTTATGAGACTTTTGAGACAAGTTTACTAATGCTAAAATAACACTGTATTATGATAGTTTCCAGTTTATTACCTTTGATTCCTAACCAGATTCCATAAGACACATTAAAAAGGAAGAAAAGAGACTGTAGAAAAGGTGACGCTATTAATCCAGCGGAGAAAAGAAAAGAAGGTCCTTATTAGGTACTAAAAAATATTTATTAAAAAGAACTATCTATTATTGTTAAGGAAACATACCCAGTATGGGTATCTATCTATATGTCTATGTGTATAACTTCAAATGTTTCTTTAGTATCTTTGTAAATTAATACATCACAGTAACTAGATTCAATTAACATTAGCATGCAAATAATAAAAAGTAAAACACTGTTTAACTAATAAGAATTATTGAACAATATCCTATCCCTAGTAATTGATGACTACTAAAGGTCCCAAATAATAAAGTGAAACACATAGCGAATTCAACTACCTACTTTGCATACATCCACATAATAACAAATGGAATTTACAAGAAAATTACAATCATTTACTAAGATAGGAATGTTTAAAATTTCAATTAAACCAAGATAGACATATTGGACTGCAACATCAGAGCCTGGATTATATAGGAGAAATAAGGACAGAAAGCATTCCTACTCCAAATCCACTATATTATTTCATAGAAAATAATAACAGATTCATATACCCTATTATTAAATTAGAAAAAAAAACAAACAGCACAACTTATTACCTGCATCTACAGTGTCCAAGTCCCATGTATGGAATGAATATAATGCATGAGAGCGTAACCACTTCCCTGGCATCAAACGGGACCATGTATCATCACCTAACAATACTGCTTTACCTCCACCATTTGTAACCTAATAATCCCACTCATAAATTTAAAATACACTTATTATGTCAAGGCACTAGAACCAATAATATAGTTTATCTTTTATAAATAAAAACTGGCATTTCTTAACTCACCTGATTGATTATATTATCTTCATGCAATTCTATAGCAGCAAAATTAGAGCTGGCATCAACAAAAGTCGGCAAGGAACCAGTAACGAGAGCTTTGATACGCTGGAATGTAGTCGTCGGTGGATCAGCCATGAATCGATACAGACGACTACGTTCAGGCCATTTATCTAGTGTTTCTTTTATTATTGGAAGACGGTTCTGGTAGGGTAAAGGCGTTTTGATACGAGGATCGTATTCTGCAAAATCATATCGCAAGGCGTCCACCAGTAAAAACACCGCACGAGTCCGAGCAGGAGGGCAAGCTATGTCAGACCCTGGATTCGATAATATACGTTGAATCTTTTCTTCGTCAGTACACACATTTGACAAGTTTCCTTTTTCCCAGCCATCACACCCGAAGTCACTCAATGGCACACACTCGGTTACATCGCTTAGTGATTTTCGTGATAAAAGAAAACCATGTGCGAACATCAAGCCCGCGGAGATAATAAGATAAGCGAACCATATGAGATACAAAATATAGTTCCATTTTTCTTTCATATTTAGTTTCAGTAAGTAAGAAGAAAAATTAATTTTATTACAAAGATATTAATTCAAACACCAACCAAAACTCCTCCTCTCCCAACAAAAAAAAATCATTTTAACATCTGTCACTATCGTCAATGACTTTCTTTCTTTTTTTTTTTTTTGGTTAATTTGTCCCCCTTGTTTGGGACGGGCAAGACTTTCTTTCTTTTACTTTTAAGGCAAATATCTGTTGACCATGCAGCTTTGTCCTTTATTTATAGAGAATGTCTTATAGGTATTGCTGATGAAAAAAGCGTGGGAAAACTATAAGGCGGGCGAAATTTGTCTAACAAAATTTCAAATTTTTTTTTGTTAATTTATATTTAAACAAATCATATAAGTTACATAGTTTTATATCTCTAATACGTGAAGCAAAAGTTTTGGATTCCTTTTTACGAAAATTGCGAGGACGGAGGAGTATAAAATTTTTGAAGTGCAAACGGCTAATATTTTTCCATAATAAAGCTTATAAAGTACATTACAAAGATTACAATATTATGCTGTACATTAAAAAACATTACACACACTACTGTGCATTTGACACAAACAAACAAGTATTTGCTACATGCATACATGTAGTCAAGTTTTGGGAGCTCAAACTTTTCTTTTTTAAAAATAAAAAAAAAACATAAAATTAATACAGTTTAAATCTAAGCCTCAATACTATATGCTGCCGTTTGGAGGCTAGCAAAATAATGTTTTATTCCCAATAAAAACTGTCCAAGAGGGCCAAACAGCGAAGCCCACGCATTCACAGGAATTGTATCCAGGGTGCTGACTAAACTCCCTTAGTCTAATACAGAGGGGCGAGGGGGTAACATAACTCCTCCATCCTCAGATGGAAAATTATCGGAATTTTCACCTTGTGTGTTTTTCCGATAATTTTTCATAAATGGAAAAATAATAATTTTATTTCTAAACATGTATAAAAATACTATAATAGAACCGAGGCTTACTATACTTAATAAGACATACACTAATTTTAGAGTCTGTTTCTCTGTTAAAAACACTTTCGATCACTTCACTGCGTTTAAGCGCTTGTGACTTGTACTTAATCTCATCTAGTTTGACATCCTTCATATTGAGTACATTTGCACCGGATAGAGCATTGTTCACTCGTAGCTGCGGTTAGTTGATTATAGGAATTGGTGATGCATAATCCCTTTCGGTATATACTTGATGGTGACTAATCTGAATGTTTCCTATTCTTAATTCACAGGGCTCCTACAAGGTCAAAACGTAGGTTCTCAGTATAGAGTATTTGCTCATTTCACCATTTCATTCTTGTATTAATGTTTCCTTGAATTTTGTATATAAAATCCAGTTTCCAGTGTTAATTTTCTGCACCTTTACGTCTTCAACATGGATCGGGTGTTGTATACAATTGCTAAGGTTGGTGTCGAATTTCATCAGCTGTTCCACGCAGGTAAGTTCTTGGTATAGTACTGTATCATCCATTGCACACAGGAAGTGATTTCTTGTAGCAAGGACGCTGCACTCCTTCATGATCGGTAAGTATTTCAAACCTTTCTCCAAAAGGTAAGGGTATTTAGGAAATATAGTTAATGTCATATATTAATGTTATTATAGTAGGTAAGTAATACAATTTAAAATAATTATATGTAGTATTATCAATAAGTGGAAACTCCATAATGAACGTTATCTGGTTTTTCTTTAAATTTGATTGAACACGAATGGTTTCCTCTATCCGTACTAAATTATCTTCATTAGGTATATAAACTAAATTTTCACCATTAGCGATAATTTTTAGATGTGCCACAACTTCAGTCGAGTTTACAATGGATTGATGTAATATAAAGCTTTTACTTAAAGCTAAGGCAGTTTCAATTTCACTTAATTTGTGTGTCTAAGTTAACAGTTTTATTATTAATTGTTTCTGTTGTGTTAATAATGCTATCGAACACTGTAGATATGAAAGTAAATTTTTTGGAAACAACGATTTGGTTAGTGTTCAAGTTTTGTATTAATTTATCATATTTTAAAGCGTCTTCATGACCTAAGTTACCAGTGATAATTTTGACGATCGAACCTAATCCGTTGATAAGTCCTGTCTTAAATTTCTGTGGAATCAATGAATCAATTGATGATACTTGTCTATTGTCATATCACGTAAATATTCCGCATGTTTAGAATACCGGCAAAATCTTGAGGAAATGATTCGTTTGATGTAACTAATATCTTAAATTCGTCAAATTTTGCTAAGGTGTACATTAGATCATTATGAATGTTCTCTAAGTTTATATTTTTTATGATTGTCCAGTAGTCGGTTTGTAAGAATGCTTGACCTTCCTTTACAGGCAGGATCCCGGGGTTCCCATCAAGGTTTTGCAGATGAAGGGCCAGCACCGGGGTCGTTATAACCAGAATACACCACCTGTGGAGGGCGTTTCATATTTTTAATCGGAGCTTTGGTATCCCTCTCACCTATTCTGAGTGGAATTATGTTTTTATCTGTTTTTCCTATTATTTTTGCTTTATTATATCGTGCCTTGTCTTTACTTTTTCTTTTGTTAACACCTTTTACATAAATTGTTTCTCCTTCAGAAAATTCTAATCCTGATTCACCACCCCTTTTATCTCTAACCTTTTCCTTGCTTTCTATCATTTTGTCTGATCAATATTGATACAGAAACGCTGTTTACTAACTGTTGCACGTATGCTTTTTCGAATGCTACATTAAATGGGCTATCGCTATCCGTATGCTTCAAACGGGGTTAATCCTGTTGTAGTGTATTGAATGATTATATGCCATTATACTGTATGTCATAACCGAGGCGGCATCGGTGCATTTCTGTTCATACTTCGCTATCCTATAAATTTCGATAATAGTGGAATGTAGCCTTTCAATCAAACCCATTGAATTGGGATTGTTCCGAGTGCCTATGTGAAGAGAGACCTTATGTAAATTTAAAAATTCTTTTAATTATTCATTATTAAATTCGGTTCCCGGATCCGAACTGATTTTCTTAGGAATTCTATAATTAGAAAAATATTTAATTAGCGCTCTTACAACTTCGGGTGTAGATTTATTTAAAATTTCAATAGCTTGACCTAATTTGCTAAATGCTTAAATTAATGTTAAATAGTATTTTCCATCGATGGAAAATATATCCATAAAAATTTCTTGAAATGGAGCATTCTGTGTTTGCTTTAACTGTAGTATTGGTTTAATAGGTTTTCTATCATACTTCATTTTACGGCAGGCCTCACAAGCGTTAATGATGGCGGATACGGTTTCTGACATATTTTCTCAAAAATAATTCCTACGCATTCTGACTAAGGTTTCTCTGATGCCTTGGGTGCACATCTTTCCTTCGTGATGTTTTAATACTACTGCCCTTTGCTCACCCTCATCTTCGATGTATACTATTCGTTCTGTACATTCATAAAACTTTACTGTATCTTTTTTAACAATTCTATTATTACTTTGCTAAATTGTGCACGATGTTTTTGTTCTTCAAAATAGATGAAATATTTAAGTTTTGGTCGAATATATTATTTTAGAAAATTTTTAATTAATTCTAGATTATCTGTAGGCATGAATACCTCTAATATTTTTTGCTTCTTTCTGAAAATATCTTTGACATTTAATTCATTTTTAAACCAAGAAAACACTAAGATTTGGTTTGGTTTTGTGTCTATCGCTTCGTGTAAAATGGGTATTCCTGATGATTCTAAATCTATTGCTAAATGTATAGTCTGTGATTTAGTGCTAACTTGGGACGGCGATCCAACAGGATACTCTAAATTTTTCTCAGAAGCTGAATCTGATATTGTCATTGGGTTAGCTGATGTTGTTTTACTTAAATCTGAAATAGACATTGTAGAAGACGAACCACGTTTTTGTAATTTCGAAAGTTTTTGTATATCTTTAGCGACATCATTAATATGTTCCTTCAATCTTTCTTCGTCCTCATCTACGTTTACCTGCATTGACTGCCCGTCATCATTTGTATCTATTGCATTGACTTTAACTCTAAATAAAGCGTCAGCATTCGTGTTTTGCTTTCCCAACTTGTATATAATTTCGAAATTGTAATCATGTAAGCGTAGCCTCCATCGCGCCTATTAGGATCTTTCAAATTATTGAGCCAAACTAACGGACGGTGGTCGGTATATATAAAGAATTTGCGTCCGTATAGATATGGACGGAAGTGTTTTATTGACCAAATGATTGCAAGCAATTCCCGTTCTATTGTGCTGTACCGCGCTTCGGTGTCACTTAAGGTACGGCTAGCATAAGCGACCGGTTTGTCGTTACCTATAGTTCCTTCTGATAACACTGCGCCTAAGGACACATTAGATGCGTCTGTAGTAAGTATAGTCCTGCGAGCGATGTGCCCTGCCCACTGCCACTTGAGGTTCGCAATTCTTTGGGCTATGTCGGTGACTTTCGTTCTTTTGCGGATCTCATCGTTTCTGATTCGATCTCGCAAAGAAACCCCGAGCATAGCCCTTTCCATTGCCCTCTGGGCGACTTTGAGCTTCCTTATGAGGCCAATCGTGAGCGGCCACGTCTCAGTACCGTATGTCATCACTGGCAACACGCACGAATTAAAGACTTTCGTCTTGTCTATATGGTTTAACGTAAATAGGGTCTTCATTTTTTGTTCGGATTCTATGTTTTGCCTGATTTGTAAATGTCAATGGTAGTTGATCACAGTGAAATATGTCCTTATACACTTTACATAATTGATAAAATTTATTCCGTTCGTCATCGTTAACATGGTCCAGTCTAAGCTTTTGTAAATTTTCCTCAAGTAATTTGTCAGTTTGTATTTGCTGTCTGTTGTTGTAGTTTGAGTTGTCTATAAAATTTAATTCACAATTTGTATTCTCATAATTAGTCACTGTCAATGGTTTGGTCAAAGTCAGTTCAAAATTTTTGTCGGAGGTATTTCGTATGACTGTACATGCATATCCCTTTTTATAATTTACCAATGCACTAGGCG